CTAATATTTTTATATAGCAAAAAATATGCGCTTTGTCTGATTGTAACAACAAAGTTGTAGGCAATTTAAAAAAAATAAGAAATTAATTTTTTTTACTCCAAAAACATTCAAATTTCGATTTTTTAATCATTAGTTTTAAAATTGATTTTTTTTTTCACACAAAGTTCTAAGACTTCTACGCGCATCAATTCGAGTTATGAATCAATGATGAATATGAGTATGTATATGATGGATAAGAGGATTTATGTATATGATTATGTACCTTATATGATGACATAAATGTTGATATGTATTTATTTATAATGACAATCGCATGATGGTATAAAATGCCGCTGCACGGTGTTAAAATACAAATGTATRGTGGTGTTGGTGGCATGGCAACAAATACACTCAACCMAAAAACTAACAAAAATACATAAAAWTGGAGAAGAGCAGTGTTGAGATGATGCACGATTTCGATGTGTGCATTAAATGTTGAAATTAAGGAAAAAAAATCTAAACAAAATCATAAAAACAAAGATTTTGTACAAAACTAAAACATAAAGAAAAAAAGTAAATATTGAAAAGTATAAAAACCAAAGGTATAAAAGATAAAATAAACTCAAAGCGAGGTATTTGTACACCAAAAAAAAATTTTTTTTTTTTTTGCCAATTTCAAAAACTTCGCAGCCACCGTGCAACTTCTGTAGCATTGAGAAAATTTTGGTACTCTTTAATTTTGTTGTACAAAAAAATGGATAACATAAAAAACTGCTTCACTAAAGCGAAACAAAAATATTAATTATAATWACAATGCGGCTAGAGGTTACTCAAAGGGGGGTTTCCAGGCCAGGGTGCGTATGTTAGTCAATGTACAAATTCGTTAACAGTCGTCAACAAAAGTTGTACGCTTTGAGGGGACCGTTTGTGTTATTGAATAAAAATCAACACCAAATGTATTGCGATTATGATTTCGATGTCAATTGATAACTGTGCAATATATACGAGGCCCACCAACGCTTAGCCAACGATGGCAAAGTAGCGCTTGTGAGGAATAAGGGGGCACAGCATAGCTAATACCTAAATGTTGTAACCAAACAAAACTTAGAATAAATATTTTTATATATGTATTTCTCATAGATATGTCGGGACCCTAAACATTTCCTGCGTAGAATTATGCAAATTGCAACCTACTGATAGCTTAACTGACTCACTGCCTCACAGCTCCTAAAAAGTTTCATTTCATATATGTTTTTTTTTCTACTAACTAATTATAATTGTGATAACAAGGATAATAAAAAGAGACCTGCCTGTGCCGTTTACATACCTGTTGCTCTGCTAATGCACGCTCACGATCGTGTGGCAGATACGTGGGTGCCATAACGAGACGCAATTGTTGCTCCTCTTGTATGATCTTCTGACGCAATGTTTGCATCTGTTGCTGATAGATGTCGATCTGGCTGAGCGTCTCTTCCAGACTGGTGGTTTTGGTGCGGACTAATTCCGCTAGTCCGTCCAAGACCTTCAGCAAATCATCGACATTCTCACTAAGGCGCGGATCGCCACCCATACCATTGCGGAARTGCACCTATATCGAAAAAAACAGAAAAGGAAGAGAARAGAGAGAGAGAGRGTTCGGCAAATGCGCGCATGTTATTCAGCAGTCTCTCAAACAATATTGATCTTTTAATTAACATAATTGTTTACAATTGTAAAGTAAATTATGTCAAGGCATTCGGACWGATAAAAAGCAGCACTTACCTCCAATTTTTCGATAGATAGACGCAGTTTGGTCTTCTGTACATTGATGTCCGCCAATGTTTTCTCACAATAGCCCAGTTGATCGCGCAGCGGTTTCTTCTTGTGTTGTGGTGAGTCCAGTGATTGTTTCGTCTTGTCTATCCAGCCGCGTATGTCCTTGATTTTGCGTTCGCATTGATCCCATTCTTCGCAGGCTTCTTGTAACAGGGAATTCTGTGCGCGCAGCGAATTGTATGATAGAAAGGGAAGGAAACAATATTATTGCAAATTAAAGTAACTGTCAAGATGAACTGTTTAACCAGTTGTACCGAATTTACTAACTGAAAATGTTACAATAAAGTTATAAAGTCTTAGCCGCTTGTAGCGATTCGTCTATCTTAGCATGAACTACTATACTTACAAAGTCCATTATATTGAAAGACAATAATTTTAAGACCAGGCGTCTTTTCTTGCTAAACACCGGGCTATGTACTTTAACCTACCCTTTCCAGCAGCACCGCTTCCACGGAAACCTTGGCGTCTTCAGCCTCTTGCAGTTTGTCCTTAAGATCGCCCACAGTCGTCACTTGTCCAATGTGTTCCAGTTCCTTGTCCATTTCACTCAAATGCTTCACGATCGGTTTAATGCTCTTCACAGCCACTACATAGTCATTGAGCTTGTTGCGCGCCTCGGGCAGTGTACGCAGTTCGATTGTCTGATCGAGGAAGGTGCGTTTCTCCGCCACCCACGCCATCACAATTTGATACAGATTCATAAATCTTGTCCATGCATCTAAACTATCGCCCACTTGTTGTTTCTTCTCATCCAACCACGCGCGTACTTGTCCCAATTCCTGTGCCAATTGATCGATCGTCGATTGTACCAGCAATTTTTCGTTACTGTTGCGACAATTGTCGATAATCAGCTGYCCATTTGTCTTGACCATTGTGAAACGTTCATAAATGCCGGCTATTTCTTGATTGATACGATGCAGTAGTTCTTTCATTTGTGCGGGTGCTAGTGTACGATCTTGCACTTGTACCTCCGCCTGTCGCAACCATCTTTGGATCTCATCGACGCCGCTCAGGTATTCGGTGCGTACAGTCTTGGCACGTTTGAATTCTTTCTGTTTGGTTTCCATGGCGCCTTGTACACGCTCGGAGAGCAACTCTAACGCTGTAAACTCCTGTGCTATATCACTTGGTACCAGATTTTGTTTCTGCAAATAGTTTTCCTTGGTTTCGGTAATCAGTTGGGTGCTGTCGGCAACTGCCTTGCCAACTTGTTGCTGCAAATCGTTCAAAGACTTTTCAATGACGTCAATATGCTCGTCAAAAGTGTGCACTTCTTGTATCTGCTCGAGTAGGGCGTTGAATTTATCTTGCAACTCTGAGATGCAATGGAAGACCGTTTCGATCTCTTCCAGATCCTTACCAACTTGRCGATCCTTCTCGCGTAAGGTGTCGTTTAATCTGCAAAGTAGTTGAGAGAGAGAAAATTATGTTATTACAAAAAAGTTGACAAATCCTTGGCTGAAACAAAAATGTGTTCGTTGTAAGTTCCGTCGTTTAAACACGTCAGATATACGGCGAAGACCACGCGGTCAGCGGCGTTGTTGTAATAATACGCTGTCAAAAGCACAAAATCACGCAAAATGTGTGCACAAGTCACTGGGGCTTTTCACAAAGAAAATTCAAATGTTTCCCAAATCCGCAGATTTTCCTTTCGCTTTAACAAAACGATTGCGGCGATCGAGCACTTCAAGAAGTTAAAACAATTGTATATATAAATATATATGTATATATGAACTATATAGTATAGTATTATTAGGATTAATAATGCGTCAAAGGTTTCCGTGGAAGAAATGCGACCGCGCTAGTAAAAGAGAATTCTCCAAATGAATGTGGCAAAATTKTGTTTGGCCTAAGGCAGCGGCCGCCAACGTAGCGGCCCGCGCAAAGAAGCGCTAGCTAATTCGAAAACATTTTCGAAAATGGCAGCGTAGTGAACAAAGAGCAATCGAAAGCAAATGTGAGTTTGATGGCGCCTTTAAGGGGCTGTGTGGCGATCGTRCACTCGCACAAATTGATGGCCGCCTTCGCGCCCAGATGGCCTCTGCCGCACAAAAGAAAAACCTTGAGGCGGAAATTGACCGCTTTGCCACGAAAACGCACCGATATCTATGCGTCTATTTTATTCGAAAACTGAACTTTTATTGGTAAAAGCAATGTGCGCTGCCATTTCGCAGTTTGTTTTGCTATTATTTATAATAACGGCAGAGCGGTGCAATGCAGGAACCGCGCACGAATGACGGCAAATAAATAAATTGAGGAAAAATAATTGTCTGCTTGGCCGCAGTAATTTTTTTCAATGAAAGCAAAAACCGCAAGTTCACGTTGCAAGAGCTGTCTCTTATACACATCTAGATGTGTATAAGAGACAGCGGCAGAGCGGTGCAATGCAGGAACCGCGCACGAATGACGGCAAATAAATAAATTGAGGAAAAATAATTGTCTGCTTGGCCGCAGTAATTTTTTTCAATGAAAGCAAAAACCGCAAGTTCACGTTGCAAGAGAGCACCCAGCATGAAACGGTGAGCGCAAGTGTGCGAAATGTAGAGCGCGTTTGGCGATCGTGCAAAAAGCCGGTTATATGAGCACACAATTGAGTTTTTTGCTTTTGTTGTTGAGCACAAAAATCTGCACTCATTGTTATCTACTCTGGCGCCAGCAGTTGCGGTGTTGCGAATCTTTTATATTTTTTCGCCTTTAATTGGCGCTTCAAGTAGCGCGTRAAATGTCAAAATACAAACAAAAACAATAAAAGTTTGTTTTTCTGGCAGTATGAGTGGAGATTGTGTATAAAGTGTAAAGTTATTTGAATTTGTTGAAGTACAATATGTACGTGTTGGTAAAGGGAATAGCAAACATGATTAAAAACGTATATTTTATTTTATTTTATTTTATTATTTTTTACTTTTCAGTTTTCAAAGCATTGTATTGCTAATTTTTTTATTCCAAAAATTATTTAATTTGATTTCTTTGATTTTTTATTGTTCTTTTTTTACGCTTTACAGCACTAATTATTTTTATTTTGATTTTCTCAATTTTTCGATTTTGCAATTCCAAAAATCTTTAATCCTTTAATTTATTATTTTACTTACTATTATTTTTTGATTATTTCTTTCTTTGCTCTCTTTAACGCTTTAGAGCAATAATTATTTTTGTTTTGTTTTGCTATTATTATTATTTTTTCCGACTTTTTTATGTTTTAATTTCTTCATTATTTTTCTTTTTTAAGATTCAATTATTTGTTTGAATTATATCTGTTAATTATTATATATACATATGTATATTAATATATGTAAATTTTTTCTTTTCAATATTTTCTAAGTTTTTATTTTTTTCACATTTTAGAGCATTTATCATGTTTTTTGAAGTCATTAATTTTTGAATTCCATAAATCTGCAATTCTTTTATTTTTTATTTTAGTTTTTGGATTTTTGTTTTTTTTGTATATTCATATTTTTTCACGTTCTAAAATATTAATTATTGTTTTTGCTATTATTGTTTTTTAATTAATTTTTTTATTCAATTTTAAATCATTAATAAATCATTAGTAATTTTTTGATTTTGTTATTCTAATATTTTCATTTACTTTATTTAATTAATTTTTATTTTTTATTTTAATTTTTTCGTTTATAATTCACGTTTTAAAATATTCGCTATTTTCTAAAATTGTTGCCATGTCATTGCAAATTGTTTTTGTATTGCAACCTCTTGTTGTGATTCCTCTTTCTTTGAACTGATTTAAGCTCATTTATTTATTTTAAGTTCCTGCTTTAAGATGCAGCGGCGACAAATCGCAGCAGACACGCTGACGTCACATGCACCACACCCAAGTCGCGTATACGCAATGTGCGACGACGTGTAGACCCAAATACGCGGTACACAAGCATAAATATATATAGCAGATGCACGGAAATGGTGCAAAGCTTTCACAAGTGGATACAAATATACATAGTTATATATATATACATTTTAACAGTTATTTTCAGCAGCGATCTTTAGAAGTAAAAATGTATGTAAATTTTCATCTTCTTTTTTGCTGGCCACTACTGTAACATTTGGCATTGAAGCCCTTTAACTTTCGATTTCGAATGTGTAAAATATATGAATAAATAGTGACAGACTGAGTGGCAGGCGCACATGCGGCTACCGGCGTCGCTGTTGCCGGAGATGACGTTCTGATATAGCAATGTTACATGTCTATATACATAAATACATAAGTATACATACATATATGCATATGTAAGAAAAGATAAAACAATCATATATTCAAAGTCGAAGCAACGCCAATCCAGCGCTTAACGGCTTTCTCAGAGTTATGCGTATTTGGCCGCACGCCAACGGAGCAGAAAAAATTCAAGAAATTCACAAAAAAAAAAAAATTCAGTTCAACAAAAAAAAACACATAATTAAAAAAAATGTAGTGAAGCGCAAAATAAAAAGAACTAAACATTTGTATGCGCAAAAAATTTTTGAAAGCATATAAGTTCACAACTAAAACAAAATAAATAAGAAGGAACAGAAAACTCACATGCGAATTCATACAAAAATAAAGAAAACAAAAGCAAAACAAAAAGGCGTGAGTGCCAAAAATATTTTAAAATAATGCACGTATTCAAAATAAGTTCGGCGTAATTTTTCGTAGACTTTTACGGCGCTGCCAAGGCAAAGCACAGCAACAATAGCGTGACACACAAGCAAACTTGAAATTATTCTTTCCTTTTCCTGCGCTTTCGGCTTTTACTATTTCGTTTAGAAAATATGTGTGTTTGTATGTGTGAGCGTGCGTGTATATGCACATTTTCTTGCTATTTATTATACAGCACCATTTGAAATGCTGGTTTCATTGCGGCATTTGTTTTTGTTTTCTGCTTAATTGCTTCTTTTGGAAATTTAGCAAAACTATATTTTTTTATGTTTAGTCTTTTTTCACATTTTTCCTGCTGCTTAAGATATTATTAGATCTCACCAACCACTTTTTGGCGTTTTTGCTTGATGTACTGCTCTATAAATCCACTTAGCCATTTTCGTTTGCTTGAAATATATAATATTTAAATATTTCTTTTTAATGTTGTGAAAAAATGTGCTAGCAACGCTGTAAATGTCGACGCTAATGCGGAAATGCTTATCGAAAGTTGTATAAATAAAATACAAACATAAAAAAATAAGAATATACAATAAGTATAATAATTTATGTGTGTGTAAGCAAATGGCAGCAGCTGGCAAAGCAATAAATATTACATATGTATTAAAAATATTAGAAGAAATTGTGTAAAAAAAAACTAAAAAACATTGAAAAGTTGAAACCAAATTCAAAAAAATATATATAAAAAAATATAAAAAAAAATATATTTTCGTGGTTTTCTTTTGAAAATAATTATTAATTTTTAATAACTCATGCTTTTGCATTTTATAACCGGGTATTTCCCATTTAATTTTTTAATTTTTTTTTTGCAATGTTTTTAAATTTTGTCATAGAGGATATTGAAAATATGCAAAATTTATTAGCAAAGTTAATAAGAAATATTAGAGCAATGTAAAAATCAGAAAAAAAAACACACAAGCTGCACAGAGTTAACAATTAAGTAGTTTAAAAATTTTTTAAGAATTTTTGAAAAATGAAAAATTATTAAAAAAAACACACACAAAATCAACTAAATTAAAAATTACGTTGTTTTAAATAATTATCAAACATTTTTTAAATTTTTGAAACAAACTACATTGTTTGCAAAAAAAATTAATAAAAAAAATATTAAAAAAAATTGGTAAATATTATTAACAAAATATAATTAAATTTTTTTTATAGAAAATTATAAAAAAATATTGAAAATATGCAAAATTATAATTTTTTTTTTTTCAAAAATGAATAAAAATATTTAGAAAATCCGGAAATAATTACAAACAATGTAAAGTTAAATTAAATTGCAAACTACTTTACCACAMAAAATTATAAATGCTTAAAACACGCAAAATAAAAGCAAATAGCCACACAACTTCAACAAAACCTTTCAGTTTTAATTATTTTTGTTTTTATATTTGCATTTTTATCAAGAAATTTCTGATTAACTACGCTCCGCCACGCTCATATTTCCATTTATGTTAAAAAATACAGTAGGCCAGCAAAACAATCGAAATTGTATACAATAAATTACGATTACATGCATACTGTGTTTAAAAAGGCAGAATATACTGAACAAATTTTATAAAACTTTAACTAAATTTAGTGGACAAATTTTATAAAACTTTAGTTAAATTTTTTATAATTTTTTTAATAAAGTTTTAGCTAAACTTTTTATAAAAAAATATATAATTCTTTGAATTTATAGTGTGAAAACATTTTGCTAAATTTTATATTACTTTTTTTTAATAAAATTTGAGCTAATTTTTTTACACTAAAAAATTAA